ATATAAAGAATATTAAGAATATCTATCCATCAATTTTTAAACTAAATGCCTCCATACAATAAAATTCCAATCCATTTCCTACATCTATTCTAATTTATGAAGCATTAACACATTATTCTAAAAAGGTTGGGACTTTCAATAAAGTAAATAGAGCAATTATAATAGCAGATAATGTAAATATAGCCTGATAAAAGGCTTTAATTTTTCTTCTTTCAGTAGTTGCATAAGGCCATTTAAAATGGAATTCTGCTACATATAAAAATCCAATAACTATAAGTAATTAAAAAAGATTAAAAATTGATCTATTCATTTCACATAATAACAATACAAATCCAAATAGAATTAAATGATAATTCATAGTAATTGTTTATATCAATACATGTCTAAAACTATAATTCTTTTATCTCCATAAATTATATGTAATAACAATCTAACTATCATTGTGATTAGTAAGTACTTTTTTACAAATAATAAATTCATTTTTCATTTTAATTGATTATCTATAAATTTAATTACAAAACCATTCAAGCATTAAAAAATATAAATAAATAAAGGATACTATGAGACAATTAAATACAATAACAATATTTAACAATTTATTAGTTTCACATTTCATATCTTAAAAAGCACTTTCATTTAATTAATCACAATCCATAATTTCTGTACTTTCAAATCCTAAAAAGGCTAACCAATAATCAGATAAATTTGTTTTAGCCATAATATTAAAATCTTCTGGAGAAATATTAAGATTGTTTAATTAAGGAATATCATCTTTTGATGGAGTCCAATTTAATAAATAAAGGAAATATTAAAATAAGATTGAAAATATTGCTATAGAATTTAACATTTTAGTATTTTTAACAGTAGCACTCATTTAAAATAAAATAATAGATATTATTAAGTAAAATAATGAAAATATAGTATTAACAAGTAAAGTATTTGATAAATAAAGTAAAATAAGGAATCTTTAAAATATCTTAAATAATGATTCATAAAGTAAAATCTTAACAAATCTACTTTTATTTTTAAAGTAATTTAAAATTAACACTTCTCTATCAAATGAATTATATTCACTATGACTTTTAACAAAAATGATAAAATCATATTTTTAATCAAATATTTCTTTACTTTCTTCATAAGATAAATTTTAAATTCTTGATTCCTCAATTTAATTTAATTCTTAAGTTTCTTATAAATTTTCTATACTTTTAGTTAAATCATCTTCTAAAATCTTTGTACAAGCAGTATCAATTACATTAACAAACAATAAAAATAAATAAAACCATGAAACCTACCACATATTTGATTCAGTTTAAAAATAATTATTTTCATTACAATCATTATTATTTGATTCATAACCACAATAACATTAATTTGTAATTATATATTATCTTGAATATGTTCCAAATATAAAAAAACTAAGAACTGTATAATCAACCCATAATGGAGGATCAACAATTGCTGTAAATGATTCAGTTGATAAAAATTAAGATAAATATGAAAGGAATATACAAAAGGCAGTAAAATAAAAGGAATATAACCATATATTTCTTTTAAGTTTGATTCTAGTATTTAAGCGTAATAATTTAATTTCATCATTTAATCTTTTAATTTTCTTTGGTTCATCAATATGAGATATATCTGAAGCAAACTAAAGATATAATTATTTCAATAAATAAATTTCTAAATCATTATAAATTTTTACATGTTTATAGTTTTGATAAGCTTTATTATTCTTCAAGAATATCTAAAATTTTATTATGTACTCTATAAAAATAACTTAAATATAAAGTCAACAATATGAATGCAGCTATTGATCTTAAATACAGTACACAAGATATAACAATATATATTGTAATTAAATCAGTATTAATATGAGCAATTCCAATCAAAATTGATTTAAGCCATTTCTATTAATCTAATATCTTCAAATCTAAAACATTTTATGAACTAGATTCACTTAAATTTTAATTCTCTTATTTTATTTATAATTTCTTAAATTTTGATAATTAATTCAATGCAAAAGCACCAAATAATATATTTAAAGTATCAGCCAAATATTCTATTCTTAAATTATCTGTAGAATATGCATATAAGCCAGCTTCCTAATAATATAATTAGAGATTCTCATAAAATCTTTAAAATCCTTCTGATTTATCATTTAAATCTGGAACACAACTAATCTAATAAATTTAATAATAATTTACAAAAATGAAAAAAGATATCTATATGCAAAAGCTATCAGTAATAAATACATATAAATATACCACAATAATCTTAATTTTATGTAATTAATTTTAAAATTTATTGATTTAACATGATATAAGAAAACTATTCCTATATATAAAAGTAATAAATTATTTAAATAACTGTAAGGAGTGAATAATAAAAAGCATATATTAACTACATAAGCTGTCCATATCAATGAATGTCCATAAATTGTTTCCAAAATTCCAAAATGATATCTGAAATTAGGTAGATTGTCTTTAACACCCTCAATTTATGATATAGTAGCAATTAATCTCTAAAATATGATTTTTATTTTACATTTGAATATCGATCATATAATACAGTATTAAATCCATAATATTGAATTATTGTCAAATAAAACAAAAGCCAATTCAATACTAATTATTTATTCAACATATTAAGTCCTAATATTTAAACTACAAAATAACTCTAATAAACTCCAAATAATATATATAAATATTTTATTAAAGTAAGAACACTCATGTAAACCAATAGAATTATCCAATATTTTTATTGAAAAGGTATACGTTTACCTTTATATTCACATTTATTTGATTAATTAACAATAAAAATTATTAAAAGGAAAATCATTATAAACTAAATTATATTGATTTCATTGAAACCAACCCAATATAATAATACAATTACCATTAAAAAGCTTATTCTAAAGAAAAATGCTAAAAAAATGTTAAACCATTTAGGCAATACATCAATTTCCTAAGAAACAGTTTAAATTTATTTTTCTTTTTACTCTTACTCTTCTATTTATTTAATGAACAAAAAAAATAAACATAAAGTACAATTCATTAGAATTGAATTAACAGCTGAATTATTTTACTAAAAGAATCCAAGTTTTTAACAAACAGTTGTTGGTAATTCATCTATACTTTTATATTCACTTGAAGGACAAAATTAATAGAAATTATCAGGTCTATCTAATCCTGTAATATTGCTGTAATAAAAAGTAAAGAAATTGATCAATAAAGATGGAATATTACAAAATATTGTAGCATATCGAATTATTCTAAAATTTAATGTAAATCCTGTTAAAATAAGCCAACATACTAATAAAATTGAAAAATATGTCTATTGAAGTATAACTATACTCAAAGACAATATTTATAAAATAATTAATGAGACCAAAGGTTTATCAATAGTATTTTTTATATTTTCTAATGAATCATACCATACTCTTTCTATTTTATTAATATAAAATGATGTATTAATTTGTTAATCTAAAATGAAATTTGAAATTCTATTTGGTTTAATATTATCTTTTGATTCATCTTAATTTGATTCATCATTATTTTCATCTGAAATTTCCTTTTCTTCTTCTAAATCGATTTGATCTGAGTCTGATAATTCATCGTCTTCTCCACTTTCTCTCTTTTATTTAGGGGAATCATCAATATCTATTGAAATATTCTCCATTTAGCTTTTAATCAATGTTTAAAATTATTTAAAATCTTCATATTATTATGAGATTTCAGCTATTGTGTAATTAAATTGATTTTTGATATTCTAAGTCTTAATCTTTTCATTAACTATACAAAGCATATTTAATACAATAATTGAAAAGATTATAAATAGAATGGCTTAGGCTTCATAATTTGAAAAATATCCAAATAATTAAAACCCTGTAAACTATAAAGTAAATGATGCTGCTTGACTATTTTATAGAATAACCTTTTTTATTGGTGTACTTATGAAATACATAACCACTAATATTACCATAATTACAATTTTTAAAATGATAAAATACAGTTTATCTACTAATTGATTTTAATACATTCTTAATAGTAATACCAATTAAAAACCCCACATAATAAGACCAATCAAAGATTTAGTACAACAAGTTAAAATAATTAGATTAAGTAACATTAATAGCTAAATATAAATTTTTAAATTCTTACAATAAAAAATTTGGTCAAAATAGGACTATCTGATAATTCATGGAATTCATGTTTAATTTATACATTTCTAAAAGTTAGAATAATTATGGCCAAAGCTAACATTATGCAATTTGGAGCAAATGCTAATCCTTGTTCTGCAGAAGATACAGTGATTTTTCCATTGATAACTGTGAAATAAACTTCAAGTCCACTAAAATTTTCAATTGACATCATTTCATAACCCTTACTATATTATTTTTAATTACTCCATTTTTTGCTATAGGATATAATACAAGCTTAACAATTAAAGATAGTGCTGAAACAATAACAAAACTTTACCAAATAGGTTTCTTAAAATCATTAAGAACCAACCAATATTGAGTTATAAATGTATTTTCAGATTGCTCTTAATTTTAATTGGTATTATGAAACTATTCTTATTAGGATGCAAATTCTGTTAATGTATAAAGCTTACTATTTCTTACTTAAACACCTTTATAACTACTAATATATGAGTAATTTAATATCAAAAGTAAGCATATCAAATAATATGTTGAATAATAAGACTGTATCAAAATGCAATAAACTAATAGTCCAAGCATTCCAATTATGTCTAAAGCTTACATTATTTTTTGGTATTTTCCTGGTGAAACTTAATCTTTAGGAATTAGAGATTCATGAGAATCTGCTTTTTTAATTACTGGGTAAAGATCATTTTGTAAATCAGCATTATCGCCTTCTGATTGGAATTGTGAATTGTTTTATCTATTTGGAGTTGGTATTTCAATTTCATTCATTGACGATTCTTAATTATACATTTAATAAACTATTAATATTTTTTTAAACAAAAATAGAATGATTCATCTCATGGTTTCTTTTAAGAAGTCTATAGCCATTCTTCTTCAGGCATTTTAAATATATATAAATTATTGGCTTCTCTATCTATGAAATCATAAATTTAAGAATATTACATAATATTTCAGGTTCTGGCAAATCGTTAGGATTAGTAACATTAAATTCATCTTTGAATAACATAGGATCATAATGTTAAATCTTTGAAATTAAATCAGGTCTTTCTATTTCATATAAAACTAATTTATACATAATTATAAAAATGCTGTTTATAAATAACCCCATATATGTTTAGCTTATGGATTAATCATAAGGGCACTTAAATATAATCTTGCAGCATCTAAATATTCTCCTTTATAAGAATATGCAAATGCCAAATTAACCCATACTCTTACATAATTAGGTCTAAGATCTAATGCTCTATGGTAACAAAACATGGCTTAATCTGCTTCACCTAGATGTGCTAATGTAGCTCCTAATTTATTCCAAATCTAATAGTTTTTAGGTTCAATTTAAAGAGCTTTCTTAAATATCTCTACTGATTTTTAATAATTTCTTTCAATAAAATAAAGTACAGCTAATCCATTTAATAATTCAACATCATTTGGCCCTTGTTAATGAGCTGCTTCAAAAACTTGAATCATTCTTGCATTCATGCATTTTATTTAATCTAAAGTATAATCATATATATTTGTATTATCAGGTACAATACTATCATCTACAGCAACCTTATAATTTGGATTCCTAATTAACCATTATTTTAAAAAGGACATTGCTTTTACTTCATCCAAAATATTTGTACAAGATATACCCAAAGCACTTAATGTATCTAATTCATTTGGATTTTATTTCAAAGCATTTAAGAAGGCAGCCACAGCTCTTTGATCTTAATCATTTTCTTAATGTAATCTACCCAAAATTCTCCATGCATTAGAATCTGCTGGATTTTTTTGTATATGTGCTTCCAATGCAAGAATTGCTTCTGTATTTTAACCTTAATGTACTAAATTCAAAGCTGCTTGTAAAGGAAAATCCATATTCAAATATTTATTGTTCTCTTAAAATCTATAAGTATCATTAGAATCTTTATATAATTCAAATTCTTGTAAATCTGATGCTGCTTACCAGGCATCAGAAAACATTTTATCAAAATCTGTTCCTGTATCCATTTCTTTAAGAATTTATTAATAAGTATCTTCAAGCTTCTTTTAAAATTAATCTTCATTTTATAATTCATTTTCATATTTTTCTAATTTTTCATCCCACATCTTTGAAAACTTCTCTTCAACCTCTGTTAAATCTGATTATTTTTATTCAACATTTTTTGTAGCCTAATCCCATCCTTCTTCCAAAGTCTAAATTCTATCCAATGCTGACTATTCTACTTTATCACCCTTTTATGTAAGTAATTCATTGCCCACCAATTTAAGATTTCCATTCTAAATGTCCTTCATAAATCTTAAAAATTTAGATTATTAAAATCTTGGATCAGGATCTTTTTCTAATGCTTAAACTAGATCATCAGCAAATTTTTATGATTTTTCACTCTATGCTTATACATCCTCAGCATTTTCATAAGCCTCCTAAAATAAATATTCTTAAGCCATTTAATCTGCTTAGTATTAGATTTCTGCTTATTACCATTAAAAATCCATCATCATTTATTACTAAATCATTGCTTATTCATATTTTCTTTACTCTTCTACAAACATCTTTTCCATCATTTATCTTTATTCTATATTTGCTTAATCATATTGTTTAGCCATGACATCCCATTGTTAATTCATACTTTCAAATAATCGTTAGCGCTCTTATAATTTCTATTACACCATTGGATCTTATTAGACATTGATCTATTATTATATTTATCTAAGATTCTTATATTAACTAAATACTATTGTTGTGTTTAGCCGAATAACATCCTATCCATAAATTGTTTGAATGGATTTTAACTCATCTACTAAGTTCCATCAGCAGTGCAAGCACCACCTGTATAAATATTTCTAAAGGCCATTATTAATTAAATGTTAAATAATTTATTTGATTCAATATGTGTTACTAATGCTTTGGAAATCAAGTCTTATATCATTCTCTTCTAACATTTATTTATATAAATGAATAGAAATACTAATATAATACTAAGACTATTTACTTATTATAAAATCATTTAATAGTGTTATTGACAATTAATAACCTCATCAAATTTAGTAGTGTTATCTTTATGCACACTCCCTATAATGCCATAAGCTATTTGATAAATAAACCTTTTTTGGTTTCATTCAACGATAATACTATTCTTATAAAAAATAACTAGGTTAAATTGTAGATATCCATCCTTGTAACTAAATTGGATACATTGCTATCTATAATAAGAAATATTCTGTTAGTTTATATAGAAAGGGTATAAATGAGAATGTTTTAGAAAAGATATAAATTAACTAGACTAAGAAAGATCTTTTACTTAAGTTCCTCCATAGTAATACTTATTTACTCTTAGACTTCTGAACATACACTATTCTTCATTTAATTATTGCTGATATCAATTATACAGAAATTAAAACTAAATACTAAAAAATTAACTTTCTAGTATGATTCTCTAAAGGAAAAATTAATTTTAGTGTTAAAGTGAATCTTTTATTGAATTATAAATTCACTTTACCTTCAAAATTAGTAAAAAGATCAATATTACTGTATCAAACACCATAGAAGTAAATTAAATAAAGGATAGATTTTATGTGACTCTAGATGGAGTATTAGAATATTAAGAATGAAATATAATCAAATTTTTTATTTCGAATTCAATATTTTAATTTAAATTATGCATTAAGAGGACACTCTGAATATAAATCAAATTCAATTTAATTAGCTACTTCTCGATGCTCACAGTCAATTTTAATTAAGAGATATGAATTAAGCTATTAAATTATATGAAGAAGCTTTAAATTGTCAAGAGGCAGGGAAAGGTAAAGTTTAATATAAATTAAAAGATATTGATAGAATGGCTATAATCTTAGCTAATTTAGGAATTATTTATTTTCATAATTGCGATTATAAATAAGCAACTGAAAAATTACTTTAAGCCTTTACAATGTTGGATAGAAAAAACGATTTCAAATGTGCATTATTAATTAAAATTTTAGTAATATAAATTTAATATCAATTATAGGGAAATTTAGCAATTATCAAATTGATAACAACAGAATTTTAAGAATGTAAAGATTATAATGATTAAGCAATTCAATTAATTCTGTCAGTGTACAAAAATATTAATTTTTAGTTAACCTCCATTATAATATCAATTATTTAAAGAGCTAATGTATATATATTATAGATTTTAATCATTTGAAGCAATGGGAGATGGCAATTTTGAAAATTTGGAATAAAAGTGTACTAAAATTTATATTATATTAATAGATGATGGATAGAGTTTGGCTTGTTTCTATTCTTCTATGGGATTAAATCGTGAACTATGTGGAGATATGGGACTTGCTTTAAGATATCATTAAAAAGCTCTAAAATTATGGTATGAACAAAAAGAAAATGGTTTTATTGTTATTACATTAAGAAGAATATTAACAATTGCATAAAATGAAAAAATAGATTGTAAGGATTATGTGTAATAATTATAAAAATGTATGCAATCTCCAGAATTAAGAGGAATAAGTCCAGAAATATTATTTAAAGATTGTGAAAAAAAATTATAATGTGCTAGAGAGGTATATATTTTAATTAATTTTACATATAGATAACAACATCATTGTAAAAATTAGAATAATAATTGAACTATTAAAAGAATCAGTAATTATTATCACAACCTTTAACAGTTAAATAACAAGATGAGTTTTGGAAACTCGCTTTAAAATTAAGACTCAAAAGGGCAATTTAATTTTGCTATCATTAAATGTCTTAATAAGAAGTTGAGAATGCATCTATATTATCATAATCAATTGCATAACTTGAGCATTCTTTAAAATTATTGGATTAACAACAACCATATGAAAATTACTTATAAAATTTACCATTTACAAAAGAATCTGTCAATATTATTAAATCTCATTTAATAAAATTCAATCGAATTTGCTTAAAATTGTAAATAAAACCCTTCCTCAATTATCTTTATTAATAATAATAAGAAGATGATTAAGGGCAATAACATTTTTAATAACCATTATTCAATTCAAAATTTCCTTCTAATTCACCATATAATTAACAAATTTAAAATTAACATAATTTAACACAACAATAACCATAATTATTATCTAATCGATAAAAGCAAGTTGATCCAATGAATTCATAATATAATTCATAACAGAGTTAGGTAAATTATGATTTTCAAAATTAATAGAATATTTAATCATATCATTCAACAAATGATTAATAAAATAATTTAGTAAGAGGTTAAAATCCCATTCAATATTAATAATATAATAACCCATTATTAAGTAATTTTTCTTAAAACAATCAAATTGAACAGAATGATTTTTAATAGTAAAAGTAATTGTATACTAATAATTATGAATAGTAACCTTTCAAGAATAGTGGTCAATTTGGATCATAAACTATGGGTTATGCTGGAAATAATCAGCCAAAAGCAACAACTTAAATATAATAGTAATAATAATAGTAATAATAATAATAATAATAATAATAATAATAATAATAATAATAATAATAATAATAATAATTTTTATAATAATCACAATAAGCAAATCTAAAATTCTCAAAATCTTAATCAAATTAACCCTAAATCAAATAAGGATAAAACATGTAAGTTTCTATAACAAAATCATAAAAATTAAAAAATGTAAGTCTTCTCAATGCTGCTTATAAAACAGTTATGTTAGGTGATTAGCTAACGAAATGCAATAAATCTTCTAATGGAAGAATAGAAAGATTTTTTATTTTAGCAAATGATGGTACATTCAGATGGGCTTAGAATAGCAAACATATAAATGATCCTAAATCAGTAAATTCCTATTCAGTTTCAGATATAAGAGGATTATTTTATGGCAAGGTAACAGATGTTCTTAGAAAATCATATAATGATAAATTAGAACCTTGGCTCTGTTTTTCTTTGATAATGAAAACTAGATCTATGGATTTTTATGTTTAACCATTATAAGTAAATATTTGCAGTATTTTTTAAGATTAATTCTTGGGTGTTCGCAATGTCAGAAGAAATCAAAAGAAGGAATCCATAATCATTTGTTATTACTCCAGGTAAAATGTTATGGAGAAAAATGAAGATTATTTTACATTGGTATTTTGTGGATAAAAAAAAAGATAAAGGAAACAACAAGAAAAAGAAATAACCCCCAAATACTTTCGCACATTTATTGTTTTTATATGCAAAAAATCAATAAAGATTACCTTAAATATAATGATTAATTAAATTATTTTGTTATATATTTTTTTCAATTATTATGGTGTTAAGAAAAATTCCAGGAAGAGGATTTATGAATAAAATTGGATCTTTTGGATTAGTAGTTTTGTCTGGATTAATTCATATTGGTGAAACTAATTTAGATAAAATAAAAAATATAGAATTGAAATAAATACAACAATAAATTTATAAAGTAATGCCATTCTAAAAAACTGATCTTTCAATGAGTTAAAAAGCAGTAATATATTCTGAATATTTGAAATCAAGAAATTAAAAAAATAAATGATTATGATATTAGATTATTATTATAAAATATTATTATTGTTTATAATCGTTGATATTTTACAATAAAGATGATATATAAATATATATTAAAATTATTAAATAGGAGTGTTTTTATAAATTTAGGTTTTTCATAATTTAATTAGATTAATAATCATTTGTAAAATGCTAAGCCTTAAAAATACTATTGATTTGATAAATCTTCAACTTCATAAATAGAATTATTTAAATTTTCTTTTTAAGCTTTTGTTTTAAATAATGCTAAAGTTAAAATTATTGGAAAAAAATAAGTAAATAGTTTTACAATAGTATGTATTAAAGCATTTAGTTCATCTGAAAGGTTGTGCCCTTCTTTTCCAAAATGGTCAATAATTCTACATTCAGATGACAGCATATATAAAAAATTAACAATCAACAAAACTATTGATCCGATGAGACTAATGTAACATAATATTCTTGATAATAAAAATAATAAACTACTTTAACTAAATAAAATGAGACTTTTGCCTCTAGGTTTATTATTCATTTTTGAGCAGACTCTATAAATTTATCTAAAACCTTTTGTATAATTCTTATACAATAATTAGGAATATAATTTATGTAATTAAACTTATAGACCTGAAAACTGTAAATGAAATCTCTAATCTAATTGTAAATATTATAACATACATTTACACATTAATTTCTTAGAAGTTGCTTCAATAATAGACATAATAAAAGTAGTAATATCTAGAATAATTAGAACTCCAAAAATTATTCGAATTATTTTTAAATTTTATCTTTAAGTTGGCCCTGTAACTAATTTATTTCCAAAATAAAAAATTAAACAGGCTTAATTTACTTAATAAAATAATTCCTAAAGAAAATATAATGTTCTATGAGTTCTTGTTAGATTGAATACGAAATAAACTAACATTACTCAAATCTTACAAATAAGAGACAAAGTTATTAGTATTATTATTTTTGTCGAGTTGCTGCATAATTTTTAACATTTTTTCCTAAAGATTAAAGAAATAGCAAATCCTAAACAAATCAAACATATTATTTCTAAACTCCAAGATCTAAAAAATAAATTAATAAATTTTAATATTACAAATAGCACTATAGGAATTAAAAATTGCTAAAGCATTCTATTGCTGTTGTCATATTTTAAATTCTTTTTTTTTAATTCTTTGTTTTAATAAATAAATATTATATTTAATTTATAATCTTAGAATAATTTTATATGTTGTAAAAATTCTACATAAATAAATTCAAATCCATTTTACATATATATGTTACATGGTAAAATTAAGTATTTTTGATGAATATATAATGATTTATCTAATCTACTCAATTTCATGATGAGGTAATAAATTTTAATTATTTTAGGGTTCTTTTGATAAAATTATATTAATGAAAAAAAATATATTGTTATTTGGATTAGCGTTTGCTGGAGGGTTTACATATTAAAGATATTATCCATATATAAAGGCTTTCATTAACGATAAAAGTTAAAAAAATGATGATCACAGCTTTAAATCAATGTTAGAAGAAGGTAACTACACACAACCAAAAGTCATTGATATTATGCACTCTTCTCCAGATAAGCATTTCCTTCATAATTTTATAGCATAACATAATGAAGCTCTGAATGTGTTTAAAATATATTATCCAGACAAATTAGAATAAAAAATATATAGTGACAATCTAGAATCTGAAGATAAAATTCATTTACACTTTGTGTTTAATGCTGCCGATCATCTTTAAGGACATAGTTCTATAGTTCATGGAGGATTATTGGCAACATTAATAGATAATGCTTTTGGATAATTAAGTTATTTGGCAAGTGGATAAATCCCTACAGCAACAGCAAATTTAAATATAAATTACAGAAAACCTGTAAAAACTAATTAGGATTATATGATAACAGCAGAAATTGAAAAAATAGAAGGTAGGAAAGTATTCTTAAAGGCAACTATCTATGATCAAAATAAAACTATTTGTACTGAAGCCACTGGGATGTTTTTGACAGTTAATTGGGGAGGTTAAATGTGGAAAAATGCATTAGATAAAATTAAAGAAAAAACAAAAATAGATGAGAAACTAATTAAAATAGATCATTAAAAAAAAGAGTGATAAATATTAACAATAATTTATAATAATATCCATCTAATTTACTTATTTTTAATCTAATTGATGTTAATTAGGTTTATAGAAGAATAAATGATGTTAATTTAATTTAATAATATAAAAAATGAATATATAATAATTGATTGAATTATTTAGTCAAAGATATAATGGACTTCAACCTTAATTTTTAGTTAAAGCACCTGGAAGAGTTAATGTAAATCTTATTATAAATGATAGTTAATTGGTGAACATATTGATTATATGGGATATGGAGTATTACCATTTGCTTTAGAACAATCTTGTTTTATGTTATTTGCTATTGATGGAAATGAAATATAGATTTAACATGCAGATGATTAATAGTTTAAGTAATTCAGTCTTTCAATGAATCCAAAGGAAGAATACAATGAAATCCAAAATTATGTTAAATATGTACTTGCTGGATATAGAGCAGGAATTTAATATGGTAATGCAAATTAAGGAATTAAAATGTTGATTAGTGGTAACGTTCCATTTTCTTCAGGATTATCTTCATCTTCATCATTAGTAGTGGCTTCATCTTTAATGAGTTTATAAGTTAGTGGAAAAACTTAATAAGATATTGATAGACATTAATTTGTGAATTAGATTATTAAATTTGAAAGAGAAGCTGGTACTGCTTGTGGTGGAATGGATTAGACAATATCTGTTTTTGGATAAGAAGGATCTGCATTATATATTGAATTTGATCCATTAAGATTAACTTAAGTTAATTTACCAAAAGGATATTCATTTATTATTGCAAATTCATTGACAGAATCAACTAAATTAGAAACACTTGGAAAACATTATAATAAAAGAGTAGTTGAATGTAGAATTGGAATCAAATTAATAGAATAAAATTTAAATCTTGGAACTAATTTTCGAACTTTGAAATAATTATAGGATCATTTACAATTATCACTTGAATCTATGGAAGAACTTTGTAAATTTATTCCAAAAGGAGAAATAAATCTTGAATAATTAGAGTATTTAAATCTTCCAATATTATTATCTGATATTCCTTACTTTGAATTAGTATTAAATTAAAATAAAAGTGTAAATCCTTATAATAGATTAACTCATGTTGTAAAAGAAGCCTAAAGAGTTATAAAATTCAAAAATATTTGTGATTCAAAACTATCAGATGATTCTAAGGCTATATTATTAGGTTATTTGATGAATTAAAGTTAGAAATCTTGTAAGGAATTATATGAATGTTCATCTGATAATATAGATAAATTAACTACTTTATGTATTAAAAATGGAGCTTTGGGTAGTAGATTAACTGGAGCAGGATGGGGAGGCTGTACAGTCAGTTTAGTCAAAGAATCAGAAGTAAAGACATTTAAGAATAAAGTATTCTTTAATATTAATTATAGATTATTGAGTTCTTCTATAATCACATTGAAAACTAAGATCATATTTTTTCAACTTAACCATCTCAAGGAGCATCAATCATAAAGTTATGATTCTATTTATTCAAAGGATATATTATTTGGTTTTTAATTTTTAATATATGAAATTCAATTTGCTAACAATTTTCTTTTGAGTTGTCCTAATTTTGATGAGATTAAATCAACGGCAACTGCTACTACTCTCTTTTATTTAATTCTATATTTAATTATTTTATTAATTAATACCTATTAGCTGTGTCTGTTTCATATTCATTATTTTTAAGTCTACAATCTGTTTCTCTGTTGTCTAATTCTTTAGTTTTAATTACTATTTTTTAATCAACTTCAAATTTCTCATTAGATGCTTATTAAATTCTTGTTGACAAAGATTCAACAAGTCCTAAATTTATAACTACAATAATTTTCACCTTCCATATATGTTCTATCTTAACTTGCTTAAACTAATTAATCTGATAATAAAGTATTTAGTAAATCAAAATTTCCTTATCTTAAAGATTCTGCTTAATCTTCTCTAATTCTTTCAGATTGAATATAATTTTCTATTTATTTCAATATTGATAACACCTTTCTTGTAAGTACTTCTGCTTGAGATGGTTCATCTTATGCTTTAGTAGCTAAACGACTCATCATCTCAATCATGGCTCTATAACCTTCTAAATGAATCTAAAGTAAAAATATAAATTTACATGATGTTTTAATTTATTAACTTTTGAAGCAACTTAATTAAATGATGTAAATTACATTCCTAAATCTTCTCCATCATTCATCTCTGTTTAATCATATTTGAAACTATAATTCTCTTGTAAGAAAGATGGCTCTGGTTTTTCAAATCTTTTACGATTTTTTACTAGTACATCTAAATAGCTATTAAAATATCCTTTAACTTAATTAACACCAAAAAGTGCTTATTCCAAATTATCTAAAATAACTTAATAGGTAATTGTTTCTGTTTCTCTCTTATGTGTTTAATAATTAAGCTCTGTCTTAAGATCATTAATTTCATTATTTTTTCTTTCAAGACTGGCTACTGCTGAAACCTTTTATGGATTTAAACTATCCAATTCGCTTTTAAGTGTCAATGAATTGACAGTATTTTAATTTATTTAATCTTTCAAGGTATTAATGTCAATATCACAGTTTTATGTAATTCTAGCTATTCTTTTATCATCTCTTTCCTATTCATTCTCTAAAGTTGTTTCCAAACCTTAGATCATATTAATTAGGTTAGAAACAACTGGATCACCTGTTTACAATTCCATCAAAATTGTTTGTAATATTGTTTAACCAAAGTTAGAGTTCTATAATTCTTCAACTTATTGATCAAAATCAGTAGCTATACTACCAACTATTAGAAGGATTAGTATTACAATAGAAAACTTCATTTAGAATAATAAATATTATTAGAAATCCGTTTTTATTGCTTTTATATTGTATCAATTATATTTGATTCAGAATCTAAGGCGTTGAATGTAGCTATTTGTTTCCATATCGAATCTGGTTTCAAAGATATCAATGCATTCAATAATAATTTCTAATTATGCATTTCTTTTATATTTAGTTAAATTACCTTTATTCAGTTTATTGTCTGTGTGCCTTTTCAGTATCACTACATGTCTAATCCCAATCAGCCTATTCAGTAGATTTATTGAATATAATCTTAAATTAAAAATATTATATACAGAATCTTGAATTGAAATTTCATTTTTGATTTCTAATATTTTTTATCCAATTCTTTCATTAGCTGCATTTAAATCAGCTACACTTCCAGACAATCTTCTATTAGCCAAAAGTAATCTTTCTTTTTATGTTTAAAAATCTAATTCTCTAGCATCATCTGCTTTCATTTCTTCTTTTTATACTTAAAATATGCTATCAACAAGAGTATCTATTATTTTAACAACTTTTTATGCAGCATTTTCTTATGTATTTTCTTCTTATAAAATAGTTAAAAGGACATTAACCATACTATGAAATCCTTTTTTATTTGGGAAATATTTTAAAAAGTTTTGATGATGATTCTTAAGCTCAACAAAACTATTTTTTTTTAAAGCACCAATTCCTTAAGATAAGATTTTCTTTGCTTCTTAAAGTGCAGAAACTAATCCTACTAATTCATCTCTTCTTTATTCAAATTCTTGCTAATTTAATTTTATAATTAATTACTCTTTAAACATTTCTTTATTCTTATAATACAGAAATTCTATCTAAATTTCTTTATTCTTCTCCTTACTTATCAAATAATTATTATTTCTTATCATTTTATTCTTATTATAGTAAAGGTAGTCTTTCTTCTGATGTAGCTTTACGTTCTTTAGCAATAGTTAATACAGCAACTGCAGCACTTGAAGCATCTTAACATGTTTTCAATTATCCAGTTATTTCTTCATCTTCAACTCTTTATTCATTGTTTAGATCATCTTTCATTTATTTCAATAGATGAACAACTGTGTCTGCTGGATGTTCTTAAGATAATTAGACTTATATTGTTTAAATGATTGTTTTTCCAAAATCACTATTCCTTAATTAAGCAAAAAAGCCTTCATCTCTAGCAAATGTAGCTCCAATCAAGAAAACTAATAAAATTATCTTCATTTAATTAAAATATTCAAAAACGAATACACATTACTTCATATCATAGATATTGATGACTCTTTTCTAGGTTATTCTATATCTTATCCTTCTGATTCATCCATTTCAGATGGCTCTTATGAATCTGCTTCCTCTTCATCCATTTAATCTTCATCTTCTTATCCATCTTCTCCTTCTTCTTAATATTCCTCTTCGTCATCAGGATTCTCTTAAAAATTAGGCTATATTTTATAAATCTTAAAATGATACCATTAATAAATCTGAAGGAAGTGTTTTATGTACTTTAGAAGGACTAACACTCAAATCAATCTTACTATTCTAAGATAATAAAACTGATATGCTTTTTGAAGCCTTTTCAAGAGTCTATATTGTTTTATTATCAGCTACAACTGCACTTTTAGTTTTAGATAAAGATAAAGATTTCTTTGCAGAAATTTATTGTTAAAAATTCATTTGCAATTATTACAGAGAACCTGTTAAATTAATCAACTATTATTTTAATTTTCTATTCTTATCAACTGCCTCCTCATTTTCTGCTTCTAATATTAAACTTTACTTTTTAACTCTGTAATTTTCTGATTCCAAATTCTTGATTTTTTCTCTTAAAATCTTTATCTTTTATTCAAGTGATTTCTATTAATTTTAAATTATTTTACATTATTATTCTCTAAAATCTATGAAAATTTATCAGAACTTTGAGGAGAATCAGATACTAATTTCAAATTCCTAATAAATTTGCATAATTAAAATGTATTTATTGTGAATTAATAATCTGGAATTGTAGGATGAACACATAATACTAAAGAAATTTATAATTATGGCCATCTTAGAATTGAGGTTAATTCCTTCCCTTTGTCCTTCATATTTAAAGTTTCATTTAAACCTTCTTCTGAATTTTAAAACTATTTTTAATTCAAATTTTAATTTGATGTAAAAACAATAAACTTATTTAATTAGGTTTCTTTGTTATATTATAACTCAGTCTCAATATAAAGTTTTCTTATTTTAACATATTTCTTACTATTATCTTTGATTGTCATTTTAAGTTTGTTGAGAATTATTAATCTCAATTTTGAAATAGATAATTCAATCTCTCTTACTTTATTTTCATTATCTCTCTTACTTTATTCTTTATTGAAAATTATTTCACTATCATTAGGATGTTTAGCCTAACCATTAAAAAATTCTTCATATACAATCTTCACTGTTAATTATTTATAATCTTCATTTTATTAAAAGATTTCAAATTGTTATTTTATTTAACTTATAAGAGTGTCTAAGTATTAAATAAGAAAATGCTTTTTATTTGTCCTTGAAGCTCCAAAAATCAAACATAATTAATTAGATAATAGTATTCCTTTACCTTAATGAATACTGTGCTATCTATCCAATTATTGAAGTGAATATTAAAGATCTTGACTTATGATATCAAAATGATAAGTATCAAAATAAGATTATTCTAATCCTGATTTAAGTTATTTGATTACTTTAACATTTTCATATTTTCCTTTAATAATATCAACATAAGGAGATTTAAAATTTTGAGACCCTTTAATAAATAGCAAACTTGACACATCTTTTGGATGATCTTTAGTTGATTTTAGAATAGCACTAGGATTTAATTATTTTTAAGGTGTACTATATTAAACAATTGATTTATCAAGTTTTGATGGTGATGATATCCTTTGACGTAATTATCTAATTTCATTTTTCAATTTCACATTTTCTTATTATAAATTTGATAGTGTTTTATCATAATATTTAACTTGATTATTTTGAATTTGTTTAAGTAGATTATTATTATCTTTTTGTAATTATTTTATTTGTTATGATTACTCTTTGCTATTATTCTATAAAGATTGAAATGCTTCAATTGTAATACCTAACTATTAAAATTAAGAAAATTGAGAGATTTAGTTTTGCAAATCAAAATTTTATTGTTACAAATACTCAATATTCTTTTCTTAGTATTGAATTTGCTCTTCTAAACTCTTGAATTACATCATTTTTTATATATTAAATAAATTTAATATTATTTTCTTCCAATACAAAATATTGAATGTACATTAAATTATGATTTCATTATTCATAAATGATTGTTAAATAATCTTATGATTGTTTAATAATCTTATAGATTTTTTATGTTTTTGTAATTACTTAAAAAAGGAAAGAATTATTATAGTAATGCACTTAATCTATTCATGTGAGATTCAAATAATGAATATAAATTGCCTATTTGTAATAATTTGGAGGAATATAAATTTAACAATAATTCCAAAAATTAACGGCATATCTTAATTTTTTTAATATTAAAAAGAAAAATCATCTTATTTTTAATAGAAAATTCACTAATAGTCTAATTTAAGAGAGGAATTTCTTAATTTCTCTAATGATTTTATTGAAGTTTATATATAAATAAATAAAAGATGTCCAAATTCATTATTAATTTTTTGTTTTTACATTTATTTAATAATGTTGCTACATATAGAATTTGGATTAAAATAGCTTGAACTAAGTGATGCAGTTAGATTTTTTGTTAAATTAATTGAAATTATGAATTTTTATTTAGTGTAATGAAATAAATCGTAAATAAATTTATTTTAGAAAATATCATTTTAATATGCTTCTTTCCACATCAAAACTTACAACATCAAAATTATCTAGATCATAATTATCAAGTCCTCAAAGGTCAACAGTCAATTATCTCAGTTAAGACTTAGATTCACCTTCTAGACAAAGAATCAAGTTATTATCTGATAAGTGGAATCACATTCAGAATGGAATTGATAAAGATAAATTAGAAAAGAGAGAAGTATTAGATGAGAGAATTAAAATTATTGAAGATGTTTTATCATAAGAAAAACCAAAAGATGAATAGAGATTTAAGGTACTTAAGGATTAAGTGTTAAAATTGTAAGATCAAGCACATAATTAAAAATCTGAAAGAGAAGTATTTATTTATGATAATTATGTATAGTAATTTGATGATAAAAAGGAGAAAGATTTTAGAATATTATCTGATAATGTTGCTCTTTCTTTTGAGTAAGAAAAAAATGCTAGAGGATAAGCAGAAACAAAGTTGTAAAAGCAAATTGATGAAAGATTTGCATAAATAACATTAACAATAACTAGAAACACTCATTAATATGAAGATAGAAGTTAAGCAAAAATAGGAGAAGTCTTATAATAAATATAAGTTGTGAAAAATCAATTAGATTAAGAAAGATAATCAAGGTATTTAATTTATAAATTAATAAATTAGAGAAGAATCAGCAGAATCTTTATCTGAATAGATAGATTAAGAAATTAATAAATTTTCAGATTAATTACTAATTGAAAAGAAGGTTAGAGAAGAAACATAAGGAAAGATATTTAGAATGATTGAGGATGTACATGGTAAATTGTAATAAGATATCAATTTTGAAAGAAGAGAGAGAGAAGCTACAACTGAAGCTTTATTAAAATTATTAGAAGATGCATGCATTAAAATAGATAAAAATTTTAGATCATTTTGATATATTATTAATAATATATATATATTTAAATTAATTAATTAAAATTAATATTCTTTCTTAAAAGATGAACAAAGAATAATTAATCAAATGGATATCTAATGTTATTAAAACTAAAATAGTAAAGAGATAGGGTTAAACAGTTTATGAATTAGAAGCAAAAATTGGAAAATTTAAAGGATAAAATTATAATGCAAATAAATATTTTGAATCCATTAATGGAATGGAATAATTAGATAAAAATAATGCAAAATATTAATTTGAATCAAAGATAAATTAAAAATAGTATAATAATGCATATGATTATATAAAATAAAAGGAAAATTAAGTTGTAATAAAAAGATTAGATTTTTCATTAAATAAACAGCAAAGAAATTCATTTTAAATAATAGATAATAAACTATCTGCTGTATTGATTGAAAAATAAAAGAATTTATAATAACATATTGATATAATAAATGATAAGATTCATTTTCGTATATCTTTAAATTAAGAAAAAACTTTATCAAAGAGTCTCAAAGATATTATTACTCAAATGCCTTCAAGAAAATAAAATACAAATTTTATAAGATTAAAAGAGACATTATTTGTAAAAGAGAACAATTTGGAATTTGCACTTTCTAAAGTTGCTTCAATAGTAAAATATGATCCAGAATTTTAAAAAATTCTTGATGAAATATCTTAATCAAGATGCACAAATATATAAACAAAATTAGAATAAATATTTAAAGATTAAAATTTAACAGATTATGAATTTGAAATAGAAATAGAATAAGTTTCAGATTTTAATGATGAATAAATTGAGAATTTATCAAAATAATTTTTACAATAAGTAGATATTTTTTGGAATGTTTTTAATTTAAAATAAGTTGAAGAAGAATAGAAACCTGAAAAAAAAATAAAAAAAGAATGATAATTAATATTGATATATATAGTTATTAGTTTTTTTGTATTTAATCAATTATAATTATAATTAATGAGTATTTAAACCACACTTTAAAGTACATAAGAAGAATTAACAAAATTATAAAAACTTATCTAAGAACTCTCAGAAAAAGGCAATCTGGATGAAATAACATAAGGAATGACTTAAAAAGAATAAATTGAATTTAATTTAAACTTAGCTTATACTCTATCTTCAATCTATTATTGTAAATAAATATCTTATTATTTAGCATATCTAAAATTAAACTCAGTTGAAACTTCCACCCATCCAATCATGAATGAATTAACAAGAATATAAGAGGCTTTCTAAAAATATATGCCTTCATAAATTAAACAAAATGATTAGAAATAAATGAGTTTGGATAAGGAAGCAGCAAAAAGACTTATATAACCAAATTTAAAGACTTTAGATGATAATTCTAATTATTAACATAAACAAAAAAAATTAATAGAGGAAGATAGAAATAACACTACTAGGCTTGAATAACCTATGGATATATGGAAGAATGATAAGGATTAATAAGATCAAAATAAACAAAAATTAATTAGAGGAAATCTTATTCCTCAAACAGGTCATTTGAAATGGAAAGATCAGATTGAAAAATTAATGAAAAAATGATTATAATTTATTTTTACATAATAATATTTAATTATCTAAATATAAATATTAATGAATAATAATAAAAATCAACTAGTTAGAGATGAGAATAAAGTTTAATAATTAAAAGCATAAGCATAATTAGTAAATCAGTATGCAGCAACCAAAAAAAGTCAAATTTATGGAATACCATTTACAGTTCATATTGAAAAATAAAAAACTGAATATAAAACAGAATATGGATTGAAAACTGTTCAAGATTTAGTAAATAAAATAAATTAGATGAAAAAATCTAAAGATATTAATGCTTTACCTAACTTTTTGGCTTTTGAAAGTCAGGAAAGTCAAAATATTTTAAGTCATTCCATTTTGTTAAAAGATTTAAAAGATGTTTACATGAAAGAATTATCTTCAGGTAATAATTGAATATATATTAGAAAATATGGCTTACATCCATGTATTTGGAAAAAAGAATGTTTGCACATATTATGTCAATAAGAATCAAACCACAGTTGAAGAAGTAAAGATTATACTTTTGATTAGTTAATTTCATAATTTAATAATGATCCAGATAACAAATAATGTATCATCGACATAAAAGCAGATAAATATGGTATTGGAAGTCGACTTGAACCAGGAATGTAAATAAATGAAAACATAATGAAATCCTTAATATCTATTTATGTTGAAGAAGGAGAAGGATTGATTAGAATATTGCCATATTGATCATTTATCACATTTTTATTATATGAAAAATGAATTTGAAGATTTTATTTAAATTCTATTATATAAAAAGTATTCATTTTTAATTAATATTTTCTAGCCTTATTATATAAATAAAAAAGAAAAATTATGTAATTATAAAATCTTAATAATAAGTTATGATTAAGTATTAATTAAATGGTACTTTTTTATTTTTATGAATATATATCCTAATTCAAAATATATTTCATTAAATTTATATCTTACCATTATTTAAATAAAAAAATTACTCAAAGTTGAGCTTAGGCATTATTAGTTTTTTTTGTATTAATTTTTTTCTAAATAAATTCTAAATAATTAATTTTTTCATTTTATTTAGAACAATTTGTTATCTATCTGTAAATGCATATTATAAAATGATGAATTTTATAAATCATTATTTGCTACTTGGCCCTGGTACACAATTTAAAATATGAATTTTATCCCATGTATCACATGTCTCAGACTTCCAATGTTTTAAACATTTACCCTAATTTTATAGTAGTTGATGATACTGATCTGCAACAAACTTATGTTTCATATCCACAAACAACACCTCCAGCACTTTGACATTTATTAGTACAATCTAAACTCCATGGAGCAAATTAATATTCATATCTTAAATTGCTTTATGCATGTAGCTAATCACAAATAACTAAACCTAATAGCAAAATGAAAACAAAAAATTTCATAATTATTAATAATAAAAACGATAATATAATTTTTATAATATTGAAAATACAGATTGATTATTACTATATTAAATTATGATTAAACATAAAAAAAATGGAAATTATTTATTAACTAGATATCTTAAAACAATGTATATACTAAAATTTAAATATATTTATTAATATTTTGTAAATAATTGCTATAAATAGATGGATTTTGTTTTAAATTATTAGTAAACACATAGAGTAATTATGTATAATGAATAAGTATAATTTGTTTAATTTTTGTATAAATTTGATTAAAGAAATGAATTATAAACCTATATCAGATTAATAAACACTTGATATTGTAGAAGATGATGGAGAATTAGATGTTGTTAATATAAAATAGGATAAGAGATTAAATAAAACTAATAACAAGCTAATTATTTTGTGGATTATAATTCTAATCATCTTAGGAGGAATTTTGATTTATGTGTCTCAATAGTCAAAATAATAAAAGAAAATAATATCAGACAATTAAACAAAAATAAATAATACAAGTAAGAATAATCTTTATTATAAGTAACAATAGTATAGTACAATAAAAATAATGAATCTGAATCTGATAGTCCTAAATTAATTGATTTAGATGATTAGAATAAAAAAGAGGAAGATGCTGATCTGAAAAAAGATACAGAATTATAAAATGAATTATTACCTAAAGAATAAGATATTCCACAATTAAATCTAAATAAGAGTGAATTAAATCAAACTATTGCAAATGAATCATAAATATAAAATTCTATAACAAATGGAACTGAGCATCTTTAATAGAAAGATACTCATTAGGATCTTTAACATAGTAGGAATGATGAAATACTCTGTGAAAAAGGATATTATATGGATAAAAATATAAAGGGATGTAAATAATGTGAAGAAAAATGTTCTGAATGTATGCATATTACAGGAACTTGTTATCTGTGTGAAGATGAGGTAATTGTTATATTAATTAAGAGTATTACCTTAATATATATGGAAAATGTATTAATAATTGTGAATAAAATCAGAAACAACCAAATTTATTGATTTCAGAAGATAATAAAAATTAAACAATTCCATTTTGTTATGGAAAAAAACATAATTCTTCATTTTATATGGGAGTATAGAAATCCAAAAGTACTCATTTTGTATTGCCGTATTTGATAATTCATCCAGCTATTTCTGTTTCTTAGATTTATCATAATAATTTTCCAATTGTTTACTATTTTAATAAAGATCTGTTCAGTTTTTAGGATAATATAAAATTAACAGACATTACCTAAGAAGCCTAAGAAAGATTATTGATAGTTGTCATTGTAGGTTGTCATACTTTGTATGATTATACATTATTCAATACCTTCTTATTTTAAGATGCTATTGAAAATATAGAATAAATAGTAAAAGCTAAGAGTACTACATTCAGATCATACTTTGGATAAGACTATAATGGTTATGGTGTGATTAGGGAATATATTTCTTAATACAGGAATAATACAATAGATTTAATAATATCTGATGATCCTTCTGAAATACTACAGTAAATAGATTCATACTAAATTTAGTGAGGAAGTAGAGTTGAATTAATTGGTAACATCAGAAAGACATATGACAGATTATAATTTTGAATCACTTTCAGGAGCTAAATCAGAAAAATCTGTAGTGGTTTTATTACAATATACAATTAAAGATGAGAATCATAATAATAATAACTATTGTGATAGATTTAAATATGTCTCATTTGTAAATTGTCAATTAAGAGAAGTTTAAATAAGTCATATTCAAAAAATGAAATAAAACTTTGAATTTATATCTTAATTTGTTGTTTAGTTAAATTTGGAATGAAATCAATTATTAATTATATGACAGGATCTATGTCTTTTTATTATTATAAAAATATGTAAATAAATGAATCTATATAAATTAATATCTATAGTATGTTGATTATTCAATATTGTTTACTGTTTTGTACTCTAACTATTATTCTTTATTCATTAAAATCTATTTATTAAATTTAAAGGATTCTATTAGTTTTATAGTAATCAAACTTTTGAATGAATTAATCTTAATAAATAAGTTAATTATTACTCTCATTATTGAATTTATTTCTTATTATTTTTATAAATAAATGCAAGCATAAAAGTCTCTTCCAAGATCAAGAACTTTTGGTAGTGGAAAATAGTAATTTATTATGTTATTTAAGAGATTAACTTACAACAGGTAAATCTAAAAAAACTACATATGAAAATTGTTTAAATTGCTGTGGAAATTTTTGGGGAACTTGTAGAGCTTGGGTACCATGCTGTTGTTGTTGTGCATATCCTTATTAGCAAATAAGTTAAGGATATGTTGGATTACTATAAGAATTTGGACGTTTTGAAAAATAATTACCACCTGGTATGCATTTTGTAAATCAGTAACTTAATTCAATAAACATAGGTGTTCAGGCTAAATTACAATGGTAGATATGAAAACACAGTAAAAATGAATTATAATTTTAAGTTCTGGACAAGTTAACAGATCAGTCATCCTAACAAAAGATAATATTACTTCAGAAATTGACACAGTTTTATATTATAGAATAGTTGATCCAATCAAATGCATTTATAGATTAAACAATCTTGCAGGAGCTATGCTTGAAGTTACTCAATCAGTTATGCGTACAGTATGTGGAGAACACACACTTTAAGAGTTATTAGTAGATCGTATTTAAATATCTCAAGAAATTGAAGAATATGTAGAAGCCATTGTAAATGAGTGGGGTATATAGATAATTAATAAAAATAGGTGTTTATGTAGAGAAACTATTTATCAAGGATCAAAGATTAAGTGAAGATATGAGATAAGCATTAGCATTGGCAGGAACAACAAAAAAAATGACTGAGGCTAAAATCATATCTGCTTAAGCTGATGTGGATGCAGCCAAATTTTAGAGAGAAACCTCAGACATTTTATCAAGTTAAGCTGCCATGTAAATCAGAATGCTTGAAACTCTTTAATAGATTGCTAGAGGAGCTAGTAAAAAAGTTGTGATGATGGGATTATGAATTTTATTTTAATATAATTTATTAACTTCATTTAATTGTTTGTGATGTATATCCAAGGGCCCTTTCTAAATTCTTTATTGTCTATGTAACCTCTTATTTACCTTAATCATACTAAGAATATACTCCTATTATTGTAGAAACTATCATATCATGAAAGTAAAGTCCAAATCTTTACATGTGACTTACTACTAATTCTTCATTGATGTCTTAAAAAGAATCAAATGTGTAAAAATTAATAAAATCTTCTAAATCAGAATTAATTTAAGGTTGAATATTTCCTCCATTAAATTTTTAGAATTCTCCTTCTTCAATCATTTCACAATAATAAAATAGTTTGAAATCTAATATTAAAAAAATATTACTTGAATGCTTCAAAATAAATTGTCTTTATATTCCATATCCTTTGAATTCTTCATAACCTGATTACCTTTTTCTGAATCTATCAAATAAAGCTTAACAAAGCATATTATTCATAGATTATTAAATTGCCTCTTACTTTTTTTGATATCCTTAAGATAATTTTTCTTATTTAGGTTCTCTCCTAAGTAAAATTTTGGATTTCAAAGATTAATCATCAGCATTTAATATTTCTATAATATATCCAACTTGAAGATCACCTTCTACATTTGGTTGAAGTGAGATTTAAGCTTAAATTTTTCCTATATTATCAACCTATAATCCTTCATGTGCTAAAAAGAACAATTTTTTATCTAATATCTTATTCATATGTTTTCCAATTTTTATTTCAAGTATTTCAAACTCTTATATCTCATATTGAATTTATGGATTTTATTTCCAATTTTTAATTTTATATTTTTGTGACATTAATTGTTCCATAAGTCCTAGAATAACTGGTGATCTTTATTTTTTGTCTGAAAATAATATTTATACTTAAGCTGTTAAGGATTCATAATTATTAATAGTCTTTTTATATATCCATGTTTATTCCTTAAACTCACTTAACAATTTATCTTTCTCCTCTAATAATGATTACACTTATTATTGTAATTGATTTGGAATCTAAGAGACTTAAACAAGTGTTTATTGATATTAAAGATTTTGCTCTTATAATAATTTTTCATATTCTATAATTTTCTATTACAATACATCTTCTGATTATTTAGTTAAGGAGAGTTGTTTTTATAAAGAAATCACTTATTATTTTAGACCATTATTTTCAAGTGTCAATTTATTAACTTCTTATTAAAACAAACCCATTTGTATTTATAGCTAAGTGATATCTTGAAAT